GAATCTTTTGGATTTATTGTCGTAATTGAAGGAGCACAGGCAATCTTGGGAATCTTTTACTTACAGGAAAACGCCCGTTTGCACGAAATTAGGGCAGACTGAAATCGTTTATGCTCGGTTTAATACTCTGTTTTTTCCCTTGAAATAAACATAGCATGAAAATAAGACAAAATTTATAAAAATTCTTGTCTGATTTAGAGAGTTACGTTACAACGTTAGCAATACAAACGTTACAATAAAAAGAACACATGTTTCCTCTCTAAATAAAATAGTTATATTCTCTGAAACATTTATTTTCTTTTTCATTCATAAAATGTTGCATCACAGAAAACTTGTTTATATACAGAGTATTTATTAGATAGGTTACTTTATTTACAATATAGCAAAGTTAAAAGCAGAATCGTGTCTGCATTTTGTTAAATATAAGAAAGCAATATTTTACTAGCGAACTTATAAATTCAAGATTTAATAAGTTTCATTGTTAAATGTTCTAAGTTTACCGGATGAATTCTAATGATCGCAGGGATTAAAAAAAAATAAACAATGAATTTGTTGCTGTATAAAAATGAAATAATCAGTCTAACAGTTTTATGAAATTTGATTACACCTTTTAAAGTAGAGTCAACTTCTTCCGAAAAGTGGATTGTTGATTGAAACTTATCTAAAGTTCTTTCTTTTACTTTTTATAAATATTTTATTATTTTTGATTCTTATGTTATTGAATCATTATTTCATTATTTTTAATATTATCTTTAATCTCAGTTTTAATCTTACTTAATGCAATTTTATAAAAATTTAGCAAGGATATAGCTCTGATATATCTAACTGAACTAGTTAGTCTAATTTAATGTAAAAAAAAGATCATTTCCCGGCACACATTCTATATTGGTGACCTAGACGTGATGATGCTACTATCTTATTAATAAATAGATGGCAGGACTAAACTACGTTCCATGGTTCAATTTGACAAAACAAACAAGCTGTTTAAGTCTCAATCAACTTTAAAACCTGAGTTGCACTGGAATGGAGAATAACACACAAGCACACAAAACAATTACGTAAGACGCTCACGGCTGACAACAATTCAGACTTTCTCGTTCACTGGACGTGTACGCTAATTTTCATGATGGTAAGAATTCTAGTTATCGTCCCAAAGTTTCTGGGTTCGATTCCTGACGTTCCCAAAAGACATCATTTACGTATGTACCCCTGCTACTGATCTTATTTTAACAAATTAGCACTGAATGCTGCATTGACCCTATTTGGAAGCTCCTAAGGGCATCTATAACCAAAACTAAACTATCAAAAATGAAATAAAATGGTTAAAATTGCATATGCTTAAATATTATTATAATCGTTATACTTTTTAATAATCATAATACTTTTTTATGAAATTGAGAGTCTTTATTAAATCTTGATGCAACTTGCACACCACCTACTACACAAATAAAAAGACTTAGTATTTTCCCGTATCATGCTGCACGTTCTCATACGTATGCTCTAAGTAAAATGAAATAATTTTGGTTTCTTACAGTGTTAATGAAAAACATAAGCACGTGAAAGAACGTGCGTGCTATGTTACGAGAAAATGGTAAACCTCCTTAAAATAATTCATATTTAAAAATCGAGTATACACAAAATATATACTTTTATTAGATATAAAGGAATGTATTTTATTTTTATTTTCTACAACTATACAACTTTCAATGCAGTCCATAAAGTTCTATAACCAACCTAGAACTACATAAAGATAAAATGAAATTTTTTAAACTAATTATTTCATTTTGTGGGACTTCTTTCAATTCTAATTTATTAAATAAATATGAAACTAAAATTTATTTATCAGTTTTCCCCATCTCTAAAATCAGAATCTATCTAAACACAGCATGAAGTATTTTATTTGCTTATAAGTCGTCTCTAATTTGAAAACATTTTTACCAAAATATTAATTTTTAAAAAATACTAATGGCACTATTATTCAGAACTTTGCAAATCTTCTCTTAAGACTCGTGATTCGGAAGCAGTAGAAAAGTAAAGATTTCCAGAAAACGTGACAAATCTCTTTCAAAAAGAAATCTGCTGCTTCGGTCTTAAATTTAATTCAGAGTATTAAACATCCTTTAAAAGTACGTGATATTTTAAGTTAAAAGCGAGTTAGCTCATAATGGACAAAGCGAGTAACAGCTGATGTAAAAAATTTTTTTTCGAAAATCTCTAAGGATAAAATTAGTAAAACTAATCAAAGACATTTATGATAACCATAAGTGCTTTTAAAATGCTATATTGTTCTAGTATTTTCTAAAAAGATATGGAAATCATATAAATTTTTACCTATTTTTTAAATGCAGGTCTTTCAAAGTAGGTTTTTCTAAAACAACAAGTTACAATACAGTTATAAACAGTTATAATAAGTCATTTTTTTAAAAAATGAAGTGGCGTAAGCCCAGACATCTCAATTTCATTCGGTTTCAAGTCAGGAACGAACTTCTACATCTTACTGATAATTTCAAAACATATTATTAGTTTTATTTAAATAAAAAAATAGTGCGTAGAGTCCCTTCGTGCGGAAGAAGTTAAACTTCGCAACCTGCGACGTTAATTGTAGAAGAATCAGCAGTCGTAGAAGGATCACTAGTTCTATTCAACGACTCTTTTTCCTGCTCCGCTCGCTTCCGTGCTCTGTAATCACGGTAATATTGTGCATTTTTCCCTCNAAGTCTCCTTGCTTCAAAGCTTTAATATTACTCATAATCTGTAAATAAAGTTCAGTTATAAAAAAATGTATAAGTTAAATAACGCTTGAAAATCATCAACTATTTTTAAAAAATCTTATTTTTTGGTCTACTAAAACAATATCCTTATTCAGGGAATATGGTATTAGTCAAATCAACTACAGTGACTTTAAACCCAGTCCGCATGCTTGGAAGTGGCAGCGAATTATACCCTTCAAATTTAACCCTTTCTGTAATTTTTCACTCTCCAAAACTTGGTGATTTTTTTCTAAACAGAATATGCATTTCTCTTTTGTCATCTAACTAACGAATAGGTACCCAAATATGAAAGTTCGGTGGCATTTAAAACATTTTCAACAGATCAATGAAAAGGAAAACTGAACACAAACATATTTGTTTCATGCTCATTTAAATTATATGAATAACTTATTAATTGAAGAAGTCCAACTTAAAGCTAATATAAATAAAAAGTAAAACTTTTTTTAATAATATTAGTCATCACCATACCATATTTTTTAACAAAATAATCAGTTAATGAAAAGAATTATTTAGAAATATTTACTTACATTGCAAAAGAGCAATATTGTAAAACCTTAGTATTATAATACCCTTTCTTTGACGAGTACTTTTTTTCAGTTTGTGTTCCATTATTTTCTAAAATTAATATTAAACATTGTAGATGAATATATTAAATATTAATAAAGATAACTATTCAAAAATTTGTAAAAAAAAGTATGATTTTCTGTAATTCGAAAAAGAAATGATTGACGTTATCAGAGCTTTATCATAAAATTTATTGACAGTAATTTATTGCGATTAATGTCCCCCTTTCTTCAGTGTTTGACAATAGTTTACAATAGGGATACCTTCTTATATTCAGCGATATGAAAATAAACCAATATATAGGAAAATGAACCAAGAACCAATCACATGAAAGTAAACAAAAGTTGCAGTAACCCGAAGGTGACGTCATTGTAAGCAAGGACATCAAGGAATATCTCAGTAAATAGAATCAAGGGTCCCTTAAATTGACAAACGAAAATTATCGCCGAATCAAGGAGCCCCCGGATACTAAAACTTCAACTTAACCCAGTGTTCAATATCTTAGGTACAATATCAAACCATTATAAATATATATATATATATATATATATATATTTATAATGGTTTGATATTGTACCTAAGATATTGAACACTGGGTTAAGTTGAAGTTTTAGTATCCGGGGGCTCCTTGATTCGGCGATAATTTTCGTTTGTCAATTTAAGGGACCCTTGATTCTATTTACTGAGATATTCCTTGATGTCCTTGCTTACAATGACGTCACCTTCGGGTTACTGCAACTTTTGTTTACTTTCATGTGATTGGTTCTTGGTTCATTTTCCTATATATTGGTTTATTTTCATATCGCTGAATATAAGAAGGTATCCCTATTGTAAACTATTGTCAAACACTGAAGAAAGGGGGACATTAATCGCAATAAATTACTGTCAATAAATTTTATGATAAAGCTCTGATAACGTCAATCATTTCTTTTTCGAATTACAGAAAATCATACTTTTTTTTACAAATTTTTGAATAGTTATCTTTATTAATATTTAATATATTCATCTACAATGTTTAATATTAATTTTAGAAAATAATGGAACACAAACTGAAAAAAAGTACTCGTCAAAGAAAGGGTATTATAATACTAAGGTTTTACAATATTGCTCTTTTGCAATGTAAGTAAATATTTCTAAATAATTCTTTTCATTAACTGATTATTTTGTTAAAAAATATGGTATGGTGATGACTAATATTATTAAAAAAAGTTTTACTTTTTATTTATATTAGCTTTAAGTTGGACTTCTTCAATTAATAAGTTATTCATATAATTTAAATGAGCATGAAACAAATATGTTTGTGTTCAGTTTTCCTTTTCATTGATCTGTTGAAAATGTTTTAAATGCCACCGAACTTTCATATTTGGGTACCTATTCGTTAGTTAGATGACAAAAGAGAAATGCATATTCTGTTTAGAAAAAAATCACCAAGTTTTGGAGAGTGAAAAATTACAGAAAGGGTTAAATTTGAAGGGTATAATTCGCTGCCACTTCCAAGCATGCGGACTGGGTTTAAAGTCACTGTAGTTGATTTGACTAATACCATATTCCCTGAATAAGGATATTGTTTTAGTAGACCAAAAAATAAGATTTTTTAAAAATAGTTGATGATTTTCAAGCGTTATTTAACTTATACATTTTTTTATAACTGAACTTTATTTACAGATTATGAGTAATATTAAAGCTTTGAAGCAAGGAGACTTTGAAGACTGCTTAAGATCTAAAGCGCCTTTGTTGAAATTTAAAAATATATTTTATTCAATAAAGTCTCCTGGAAGACTAGCATATTCAAAATATTTAAGGGAGACTGACCTTTTTAAATGTGCTAATCCTCCAATATTAAAATTTCACGCTTCTTTTGATAATCGTGGTCAATTACCGAAGGATCGAATGAAGTTTAGAAGCTGTCATATTCTTTTTTATGTGGAAGACGGTACTATTAAGGTGTATGAGCCAACAAAGAGAAACGCTGGTTATGAACAGGGGCGCATCATCAATCGAATTAGAATACCGAAACCAGAGGGAGATTTTTACACTCTAGATGATTTTATAATTGGCGTGACAGTTATTTTCTTCGGAAAAATATTTAAATTATTAGATTGCGATGGTTTTACAAGGAATTTTCTCCATGAAATGGGCTTTAGAGTTAATAATCCAGATGTTGGCCTTAAAGATCCTGTTGTTGATGACAGAGAACAGGAAGACAGCCCACGTACACAGATATATAGGACTGTAGTTAAAGACTACAAGCGTGCAAAATTTCAAGCAGATTACCCAAAACACTTGCGATTTTTTGGGATTTATCAACGCAACCCAACTCATATTGAAGATCAAAAGTATGTGTCCATGTACTATAGTTTGTCTGACGGCACAGTGAAAATCGTAGAAGATGCAAGAATCATAGATAGTCAAAAAAATCGGTTGCAAGGTAATTTTGATACATGTTTGGTACTAAAATCCGTTCTCGTTCCTAAAAGTGACACTTGGTTAACCTCGATAGGGACTAGTTCTCCCGAAACCATATTGAATTTAGGATCCAATAGGCCAAAAAGTTGGATGTATGATTGCAGGTTGAATAATTCTAAAGAATTTTTTCAAAATTTCTTACTAGATTGCAATTCAGAGGTTCACAAGAAAATGAATAAATTTTATGTGCCAAGTGATTTTGAACTAGGGAGCTCTATAAATGTTTTTGGTGCTAAACTCTTGTTATATGATTGTGATGATTTCACTAAACAATACTATTCCAATGTCTATAACGTAGAACTAAAACCATTAACATTGCCAGAAATAAAACTTAGTGATTACCATAAATTAGTGCATCCTCAACAAATGGGGAGTTTTAAAGACAGTTTGAAATCCTGCTATAATACTGAAATATACAGACCTTTGCCCAGTTCGAAAGATTTTATTGAAGTTAATAAAATATCCACCAAAATTCCGACAAAAGGTATTCATCGTGATGATCTTATGAAGTTTTATTTGAATAATCCAGATATCGATGACTGTAAAATTCTCCGATTTTTATCAGTTTTTACGCATAACCCAATGAAAAAAGAACAGCGCTTTATCATTGAGTTTCACATGGAAGATGATACAGTTAATATATCCGAACAAGACTATGAGACTTCAGAGCAACGCATGGGTAGTGCAAAATATTTGAAAAGAGTGAAATTGAGCAAACCAGTTCCAGATCCCATTAATTATGACCATTGCTTCTACTCTAAAGCGGATATGTATGTCGGAAACACTATCTGCGCTCGTACAGAGTCCTTTTATCTACTTGAAGCTGATGAATATACTTATACATTTATGGAAAAACATAGTAATTTCTTTATATACTCGGACATCAAAATTATATTGGAATTGATGAGAAAGCATGTTGGAGTTTCTGCCCAATCTTTACTTGAATCCTTCGAAGCAAAAGATGCTTGCAAAGCTGGTGTGATTCCATTTGATTTATTCAGACTTGTTATACGTGATCTTTTTAAAAATGCTTCTACCGTATTAAATGAACAACAAATAATAACATTAGCTAGAGCCTATGCTGAAGAAGAATACACGGGCTTGATTTTTGAAGATATTGTTGCGAGGGTTCAAGCTCAGTTGAAAAAGCATGGTTTTCAGGATTTTGATAGATTAAAAAATCAGTTTCAGATTTTTGATATCAACTATGGAAATAGAACTGGTCTTTTCCAGGCTAGTCAAGTGTATAGAATTCTTGTATCGAGTCCGATACCTGCTGATCGAGATCTGATTAAGGCTTACTTATTTAAATTTCCAAAAAGTGAAGGACTTATAGATTATCGTAAAATTATGGAAACTTTAGATTTTGTTAATAATCCTGCTAAGGCACCAAACAGTAAACCTTATGTTATAAGCGTTAATTGGTCGAAAGGTGAGAAAAAGAAAAACATGCAAAAAATAATTTATCGGTTATTAATCGACGCTCTTAAAATTGAAGATTGCTTTTGTTCTTAATTTTAAGTATAAGTTATAAGCGTTAATTGGTAGAGAGTCGAGAAAAAAAAACATGCAAAAAATATTTTATCGGATATTAATCGGCTCTCTCAAAATTGAAACTTGCCTTTGTTCTTAATATTAAGTGAATTCTAAATTTTTCATTTCATAATTCTGAGTTATAGGTTTATTACTTTATTAGACAGGGGATATTTTTAATTGATTAAAAGGAAGGCATCTATCTAAAATCATTTGATTTCGTAGAACTTATTATGTTTAGTGTACTACACTGGATATAAGTTTATTTAATACAGTTTCTATTTTACTATTTATGTAACCAATTCTTCAAATTTCAAACTTATTATAGCGCATATATAATTTCATTTAATTCACAAATATTTAATACTTAGTTACATTTATTTCTTCTCCATAAAAATTCGACTCAAAACTGAGTTAAAAATATATGGACAAAATTTAACAATTATAATTTTTCAAATATTTTATTAAAATTTAAAGTTTTATTTTCTTTAAATAACTATTAATTTTTCAGCTAAAAATTTTTGAATGCTTCCCTGGCATTAGCTTTAAAAAATTACTATCAATAATAAAGCACAATATTAAATCTTTGCTTATAAGTGAAATTTATTTTTGTTTCAGCATGTACTATTCTTTAAATATTATTAACATCTTTCTTGAAAATTATTGTATAAAGATAAAATTGTATTAATTGATAAAAATATTATAAAAGGTATTTTTTAAGTGTTTATAGTTTGTCTGTGTGTTTTGAAAAATATAAATTTCTAAATATTTGGTAAAGAATGAAATTAAAAATCTTTAAATATTTAATTTTTGCCTATGATTATTTCTGTTTTTGTTTTATGCAACTTTATTACGTATTGCTTTGTTACGTTCAACTTTAAAGTCAACAACTTTAAAGTTTAAAGTTTACAACTTTAAAGTTTAGTTTTTTTCCCCTTCCGATTTTAAAGCCAATACAAGAATAAATAATGGCGTTTTTCTGTTAGTTCAATAATTCACCTTTTTGAAATGATTTATACATTCTATGTTCACTTTTCTAGAGTTTCTGATCTACTTTTCTTTTAGTATCAAACTTTGGAAGCGATTTTGTAAGATTCTTTTTTGTAGCAAATTGTGAGGAATTTACAGAACACACACCTTTGAAATTAAAATATATTTAAACATTATTAAAATGTATTTAACGAAAGAAATAAATCTTTAAAATTATAAATTTTTAAAGTTATAATTTTAAGTAAGAGTCATAAATTATTGGTTTTGAATTAGTAGTATGCTTTTTTTGTTTTTTCTCATGCTAGAAAAAAAGCTTTTTATTTTTACTCAATTATTCTCTGGGAAAAACTAAGCTACCTGGGCAACAAAATTAGTCACCTTAGAGAAATCATGAAAATTATAATTTTTCATCAATTCGGCTGCGTTGTTTCGAGGATGGTTTTCGTTTTATAAATGCGGCTTGTTCATCTAAGCGCCACTTTTTCAATCAATACAATCACGATTTCTATGTTATTGATGTCGTATGCCATTAAGACAAAAAGAGTGAGCTTCTTCTTGTCTTCCAGTGGCGCCATCTAGGGTCAAGAATTTAACCTCTCACACACACATACGTCACAGCCCGTTTATTGTGCGATCCCATTTCAAAATCTAATAATAAGTTAATAGGTTATAAGGTAATAAGGTAATAATAAGTTAATAGGTTAATAAGTTAATAGGAAATTTGTGAACAATTAATGAATCAGACATAAATTTTAGGCTTATAACAAAGCACATTTAAAAAGTCTATTTATTTAAAACCTTCACTAATTCGAAATTAAAATAAATTGCCTGAAATAAATTGGGCTAATTTAGTAATGAAATATATATTTTCTATCTAGTTTAAATGTATGAGGGATTATTACAATATACTTGAAAAGTATCAAACTGATTAAAAAATGCCAGAGACTTTTCCGCTTAGATTGGCACATTTCAAAATGACGGTAAAAGTACCGATTTATTCAATTAGTTTACTCTGCAAAAAATTCCGAATCAAACAACAGTAAAAAGTTCCATCACTCAGGGTGCCGGCACCTTTTTCCCTAAAATCAAATTTTTACCGGAACATGTTATGGAACTAAAAAATCTGATATACCGTAATTTTGACACTATTAATTATATTAAAATCACTGAATAATACTCTAATTAAATAAATACTATTGTAAAAATTACCTTATAATATTTTACGGTAAAATGGATTTGAAAAGTGATGCCCTCAAATTGCCGGTACTTTATTCGGTAATTTGATCCGGAATTTTTTACCTGATATGGTAACTTGATAAAGTTTCGTCACTGTATCTAAAACCACGCATGGAATAATAGAAAATGATTAAGACTAATGAACTGTGCAATTCAATCATTTGCATTTTCTTATTATATGCATTAATTCTTAATACACATATTGAAATTAGATCTAAATTTTTTAAAGGGTGAAGAAGGAGAATAATAATTTATACATCTAAAACAACAAAGTTTTACATTAGTGGCAGTTCGTATGTTTGTGTAAGGATAAAATATTTGGCGCTCTCTCCTAATGTAGATCTACAAAATATCCGGGAAATATCATCAAAATCACGTTTATGTTTCTTATATTTGAAATGGAAGAATGTGATCGTACAGGATATGTCGCTTTAAGGCCCGAAAACGAGGTATTATTTAAATCACTCTCGAATATTTACCGTTTAAATCCCAAGATGAAATAAAATTGAGTGCTTGAACCAGAGCATTCTCTCTTAAATCGACACCATCCACTAATGCAATGCCATTTTACCATCTGAGCTTAAAGCCTTGCTAATGGACTAGGCGTGCTGCGGTTTATGCACAGCGATTTAATTGAGGACTTCCAATATTGGAACGTCATAATGCCATTAACCCTAGCTCATCGTCTCTGATGGGTGCTATATTAGAGCATGTGGCAGGATGGGCTGAGACTGGAGATGCTGGGACAGACGAGCGGTGAAGTGGTTCCGCGGAATGATACATTATGGCTCGTCATGCGAGGTGGAGGGGTTGAGGGGGGATATTCCAGATTGGGGTTAGTAACGCGATGTACAGCTTCGGGAATAGGATTTTAATGACAATGTCATGCGTGTATCAATGCTAGTATGCGGGATTTGTGTTCTTGCACGTTTCAGGAATTTAACAGTTCGGGGAGAATTTGTTGCCCATTTAGCTATTTGTTGCTGTTTTGTGTGAAATTATTCGGTGATAAGGACCCTTTTATTTGGGGGAATTAAAGGGTGTTTGCTTAAAACCCTGTTTCAAGCATTTGTCCAATCACAATATAATTATGCTTTAATTACATTCTTTTCTGTAGTTAGTTATCTAACGTGATGTTGCTATTCTCGTTAATATTAAATTTGAAATTGATAGATCTATTCAAATGGGGGGAATGTTATGTGTTTTTTAACGATTGAATGCTGTTAGGAATATAACTCAAATTAATCTGCCATTTTAACGTTTGAAAATATTCCTAGATAATGATTGGCAAATAAAACAACAAATCACACAGAGGTTGTTTCAGAAAAAAATAGCACTTATTTTTTTAATTTACACAAGAGTATGTTTGGAGTGAAATTTACTTTTCCTCATTTTATCTACAGAAGCCATGAAAAGAGCTACATATTTTTTGCTTTGAAATAATGTACACTTTTTTTAACGCATTGAATTAAAAATTTAGTAAATTATTTTAATTCACTCGAGAAATATTTAAAGACTAATTTCTTTTCAGCATGCTTTTATGGACTCTTTAAAATAAATTGTGATAAAAAAGTTTTTTTGAGGTTTCAAGTCATTCACCGAGTTTCCCAATAGTAACTGATAATTTCAAAATACGAAAAAAAGGACTGAGGAAAAGAATGGGTATTCTATATAATGCTGACGTTTAATATAGTGATGGTAATATATACACTCAATATAATGTTTTTTAACATTAAACGTCACACTGACGTTTAATGTTAAAAAACATTAAATTGAAAAAAAAAAGTATGGTCAAAACTACTAGAACATGGTAAAATTTACCAAATTACTGGTTTTAAAAGAGCACCAAAAAGGTTGGTCTTTTTTAACGAAGTCCTTCGGGAATGATTTCAGTAAAATTAACAATAATATATGGTTTTATAATATGTAATAAAATTTGGTAAATGCGGAAAAATTTGGTAGTTTCATCACGATAACTTAGCGCATGGTATAATAAACCATTTATTAGGTTAAATTTACATCTTATTTTGTATTTTTTAAATTAATGTATGATTATATGAGCGATAATTTTGAAAGCCAGAATTTCCGGTAAACCGTTACCAAAAGAACGGTAAAATTACCACATGAAGGGTTTAGATATTATTCTATACTTTGGTTTAATTAACTAAATAATTGTTTTTTTTTAAAAAAAAAACAAAAACAAAAATGTCATTATCATACAATCCTTTACGGTAATTTTATCGAAATTTTTAAAAACATCAAAAATTTTTTTTTTGAGAAAAGGATGAAGGAAAAGGATGAAAGGAGAAAATCAGACGAGATTCAATTTGATTTTTGGTGTTTTAAATTATCGTGAGAGAATTTTTTAAAAAAATTCTGAAATTTCGGTTCAGTTCTAAATAATCAACTATTAAAAATGTTTGCGTCAAGCATGTAAGGTATGTCTGACTTGGAAAATTAAGCATTTAACTGTACGAGGTTCACTTGAAGATTGAATTCGATCTTTATGCCTAAATTCGATCACTAAAAAATTTAAAAGGTGCAACTTTATAGCGTTTAAAGATTTTGCACGTATTATGAAAGGAATGACTTCAAATTGATCAAGTGATTTCAAATAGTTAACTGTTTAAAATGCTTTCCTGAAAATGCTTCGTATATAGGTTTGCTTTGCAAAAAGTATGTTTTCAATCACAACAGATCAATGTAGTGTAGTACTTTGTGTATTTTTTCTTATATATTAGAAAGGTTCTAAAAACATATATTAAAGGACCCCATTTAAAAATATCTATATACTGAGCCAGATATTGAGAAAAAAACCCAAATAAAAATTTCAAGCAGTTTTACTTCTTTGTTGGATGATCAGATAATTATAGTAAAATTATTTTACAATATACTTCACTTGATAGACATTTTAAATTAATACATTTTAGAATAAGATGATAAAAAGTTATAATTTCTTAATTCATGTCAATTTCTAGGCAATTAATATTTTAGAAAAAAATACAAAACTTTTCTTCAGTTGTGTTAAATCTCTACTTTAAGGTGCTACTTTTAATTCGAAAATGCATTTATTTCTGTGGTTTGACTAATGAAAGCAAAGAAGCTAAGGATATTAATTTTTAAAAGATTCGAGTATAATAAAAACTCATTAATAAGATTGAATATTCTTCGTTTAAAATATGTCCTTGTACCTTA